CGTTCTGCCTAACCAAGGGAAGGGGAAGCCTTCCGGCGTATAAAACGACTGGGCGTATAAGACGACCCCCCTTTTCTGAGAAGATTTCCCTGGGGTTAAAAAGTCATTTTATACGCCGGAAAATATGGTAGATCTAATGACCACGACTTTTAAAGGAGATGCGATGAAGATGATGAGCCGCCTCAGTCTATGCTTCTCTTCTCTAAACTTTAAGGTCAGCACCATGAAGGCGACAGAGATGCCACCGCAGGTGTTATGCGACCCGCCACCGCCCCCCCCAGCAAGAGAAGAGATAAACAACTGCAGCAGAGATAAACAACTACTCATGTCCTTCTACATTGTCACCTGTATGTGGATCTAAGGCATATATATTTACATTCGACTTTAAGCAGTGTGGTGGATTGCCCTGGTGCACTTAAGGTACACAGACTTCTGCTCCAACATCTCTGAGAAGGTGGCCGAGTTTCTCCACTCTGCTTTAAAGCTGTGCCAAAGAGTCCTAGAGACATAGTATTTTTATAGATGTAATCTGCTCTTAAATTGTACAACGGAGATAGTATTTTTATAGGTGTGTTTTTAATCTGCTCTTAGATTGTATCATCTGTATTGACAGTTTATGTCAATAAAGGCTAACTTGAGAACTTGACTTGACGAGAGATGAACAACTGCAGCGGCATTGCTGTCGTCTCCCTTTAAAATTCATGGTCATTAGACAGTATTCTCTTCAGTCACATTGTCTTTGTCAGCTTTAAATTCTATAGAGTTTGTAGTTCATATTATGCTTAATATACTTGCCATCTCTTGTGGAATTTTTGTAATGCTTAAGAGTATGCAGAGGAGCTGCGGTGGCTCAAGTGGATAAGACGCTGAACTGCAGGCTGTGGAAGGTCAGTAGTTCAGCGGTTCGAGACCCGGGTGCCGCATGATGGAGTGAGCTCCCATCTCTAGTTCCAGCTCCTGCCAACCTAGCAGTTCGAAAGCAAGAAATTGCAAGTAGATAAACAGGTACCACTTCGGTGGGAAGGTAGCAGCGTTCCGTGCACCTTGGTGTTTAGTCATGCCGGCCACATGACCACGGAAACGTCTTCGGACAGCGCTGGCTCTTCGGCTTTGAAACGGAGATGAGCACCACAACCCTAGAGTCGGATTCGACTGGCTTTCGAGCAAGGGAACCTTTACCTTTACCTTTAAGGGTATTCATGTTCATTTACATGTGATTGTTATGATCCTTTATTTCAATTACACTGTAGTTCCATGTATTGATAACCAGTGTTCCCTCTAAGCTGAGTTAGTGTGAGCTAGCTCAGCCTCCGGCTCACCCATTTTTGTCTAAGCTCAGGAAGGATGGCTCCAGAGCAAACTAATTCATGCAGCAGCCAAATCGCCCGCTCACAGCTTTAATCCTAGCAGCTCACAAAGTAGAATTTTTGCTCACAAGACTCCGCAGCTTAGAAGGGAGCATTGATGATGGCTACTGATTTTTGGTCTCTGGGGAGTGATTCTTGTTTTTTGTCTGTAATTCCTCCTCGTTCCCGTTTGTTTAACTTAGCCTAAAGAGCAGCAGGCAGAACAGCCTTGGCCTGCCCTGGGAGCCCTTTACCCTCCGTGTTGTCGGGTCTTCATTTCTTCCCCTCCTCGGGCTTGATGCCTCAATGGGCTGTTGACGTGCAGCAGCCGAGGAACTGAGCCACGGACCGGGAAGCCCCTGGTTGGCATCCCAGCTCTCCCATGAGCTCCACAGGGGGGCCCGGAGCCCCTCCACCTCGCCTATCAGCAACAAGGGTGCAAATGCTGGCCTGCTTTGCACGGAGCGCAGAACTAAGACCCTTTGATCGTATCTAGCATGAGCAGAGAGCCACTTGCAGAAACAAACCTTCCCGCCTCCCTCCCCCCCCCTGCTGCCCCCTGCTGCCCCCCTCCCCCAAATCATACTGTTCCGGGTTCACTGACACTGTGAGGGGAAAGTGGGGGCCCACAGTGGGAGAGGGGAGTCTCTGAAAATTGACACACACTTTCCTGCTTTTCCGCTGCAGGAAAATACAGTTAGGATCTAAGCTATAATATTGCAAACACTCAAAATGTGCTCCCTCGGACTGTTCTTAGCCTAGGGGAAGGGCTGTGGGGGCAAAGCATGCGTGTTGCACAGAAGGGACCAGGGGTGTAATCCCCCCGCGTGAGGCCCTCAAGTCACGGGTGCCAGGGAAGTCCTCCCTCTGCCCAGACCTCGGGAGAGTTTCCGACCATCAGAGCAGACAATACCAAGCTAGATGGCGCAATGGTACAAAGCAGCTGCGTGAGTGGAAGAATACAGGGGTGGCTCTTCTGCTGTTCGCCAGAGGGGCCCCAGCTCGGTGGCAGAGCACCGCGGTGCAAGGAGAAGGTGCCAATGGATTCTCGGCACTCCCAGTTAAAGTTAGCAAACGTGATGAAAGACCCTAGCTCTTCAGTCTAGGGGAGTATGACCATCGCTCAGGAGGGAGAGCACGTTCCACAGCCATGCTTTTCTGCTTTCAGCCGGGGAACCCAGAATTCAGCGGTCAGGCCCGTGCGCATCCAGGATCAATTCCCAGCAAGCACACTCAGGCAGTGGGAAAGACCTTTCTCCGCCTGAGATCCACTGCCAGTCGGAAGAGACAATAGAGGACTCAAGGGACCAGGCCGTAAGACAGTTTTGTACGTTCTTTAGCAGGGATTAAGAACTTGAGCTGTGAATCCTTCTTGGTCCCGGCCCATCTGGTGGAACGAGCTACCTTATGAGATCAGGGCCCCGTGGGACTGGCTACAGTTCCTCAGGGCCTGTAAGACGGAGCTCTTCTGCCGGGCCTTTAGTTGAGGCGGCGGGCACACACCTCGTTCTGCCCCCCCCCCCCAGTTACCGCAGATCCTAGAAGCCAACTGGAACCACAGCACTTAATTAACCAATTAATCGATCAATTAACCACAGCATTTAATTAATCGATTAAGGAATTAATCAATGTCTTCTGAGGCACACTGTTGTTTTAGAGTGTTGTGGCTTTATTGATTTTATTGGAATTTTTTTTTTGAAATGTGCTTTTATTGTAAATCTGCACTAGTTGCAGATCTGTATGTTGTATGTTTGGAGCCCGTCCTGAGCCTACAGCGTGGGGAGGGCGGGATACAAGTCTGATGAAATAAATAAATAAGTGATCCTCTGCGTTGAGATGCACGGCTCAGTGCTGGAGCACCTGGCTTGCCGGCAGAAGGGCCCCAGGTTCAAGAGCCAGCATCTCCAATTTAAAAGGATTCCCAGGTACCAGGGATGGGAAACAGCCAGTGCTGCAGGGATTAGGAGGAGCCAGGGGACAGACAAAGGACATCAGACAGGAGGAGCCACCCACCCCCTTTAGAAGGTGAGCTACTGCCCCCTCAACCCCATCATCTCCCCTCCCCTCCCCATCTGCAATAGCGGGACCATGACAACAATCACAGAGGAATCGCAAAGCCCTCCGAGTCCCTCTAAAGCGCTGTGGAAACGGCAGCAACTGTCATCTGAAAAAACAGCAAGAAGCCCGGACTTTCAGGCAGGGTAGGTTTAATTTGCACCAAGACTCACGTGAGGTTTCCAAACCGCAACGCACCTTGGCTGTGGTTCTGAGACGGCTCGAAATCAGAGTCGGAGCTGGAGTCCGAGCCAGAGCTGGAGTTCGATGGACTGGATGCGGCAGACTTCACCCCCCATAGAAAGGAGAGACAAGCAGAATCTTAAACCCTCTGAGACGTATGAGGAAGACAGGATGACAGCACTGACCTCACACACACACCCCGCTCCCCCGTTATTTGCTGCAGAGCTTTTTCTAAGTAGCTAGGAGGAAGACGTTATAACCACGCCTTTCTCACTCGCCACTGTGGACCAATAAGCAACCCGTCTTTGGAGAGGGGCCTTGCTTTGCACGCAGAGGAGGCCAGTGCCAAGGTCCAATCTTAGGCAAGTCCAGCTAAGGGATCTTGAGAACCAGGAGAGACCTTTCCCTGTCCAAGACCTTGGAAAGCCACTACTGGTCAGAGGATGTGGACAGATCAATATACAAATTCTTGCAGAAGGGCCACGGCCCTTTGGTACAGTGCATCTAAAACTACACTCTTTTGCTTTCAGCTGACAGCTCCAGTCTTCGAGTCCCAGCTTTGTATGCAGGAGGTCCCAGGGTTCAATCCCGAGCGAAAGGAACTCGGGAAAGATGTGTCTTGGTCTGAGACACCACTGACAGTCGGAGGAGACAATACTGAACCAGGACGACAGAGAGTTCGACTTATATAGCCGTTTTGCATAAAGATTTGTCGGACAGGCTCCCTTCACTGTGCCTCACTGGAGAAATATATTAGGTACAGGTGCTACAAGATGTCAGGTAGCCCTGTCATAGGTCTGGAATGTGGAGGGGTGCCCTCCCGTTTTCTGTCTCAGCTCTCCCTGGCTCACCAACTGTTTGCTATCTTATGCTTGACCTTGTAGATGCTCCAGCTGCAGTTTTCTCAGCTGGGAAAGTTAACGGCTTTTGCTTTGCCTGCTTGCTTCTGCCCACGCGCACGAGATGTATCCATTGGTTCATGCTTACCGGGGGGGATGTTTGATTCTAGTACAAGTCAGAGGCCCTAGTATTGCTGACACAAGCTGTACACATGTCTCTAGTACTGGATTTACCAATAAACAGTTATTGTCTCATGAAGCCCTGTGTTGAGTAACCTGGCTAAGGACCTTGACAAAGTGCCAGGAATGGCCTTCTCTGTGGTGGCACCCTGCTTATGGAACTCCCTCCCAAAGGAGGTTCACCCTGGGTACCTACTCACATGGATTTTAAGTAAGAAGTTCGTTTCTGCACAGGCTTTTCACTGAGGTGTTGTTCTGTTTTAAACAGTTATGGCTTTCTATTTAGCCTACTTATTGCATTTTTTCCTTCTGGCTTATGTGTCCTAAACCAGAAGGAGTCAAGCACACAAGATATAATTTTTAGAAAATAAATAGGTTTGTGAAGGAAAAAAATCTGCACACTCCGCTTTTAGCCACCAGGGGTGGACAATCAGAGCATCTGCTAGGCGTAAGACACGCTTTGGATTGAGTGACTACCAGAGCCAGTATTCAACCCCTGGATCTCCGGTCAGAAGATCTCAGGCCAGTCCACTCAAGCCTGTACAGTCCACTCAAGCCGTCACGAGCAGTCAATCTGGAGCCACAGACAAAAGACGGCAGCTTACACCAAGGGCTCTGAAAGTCCATGCTTTAGACATGGAAGAGCTCAGGTTCAACCCCTTCCAGTATAAAAAAATCTGCTTAAAGCATTTCCAGGATACCAAACCAGACAGATCAGAAAGTTTCAACAGAAAGCTTTAGGTACTGAAGAATTTTAATATTCTAATAATTTTGTATCTATTCACTCAATTATTGTCTACCTACTGTATTATACCTCTATTTACTGTGAATTATGTGAATTGTGACTTGTTGTTGGTCCACAACCGTTTTTAATAAAGACTGACTGAGATTGATTGACTGAGATCAACTGTCTGCCTATTGATACACTGACCTTGGGGGTCACCACGGAGGGAGGGATAAGAGCACTCTTAGCTCTGGAGAAAGGCAGAAACAATCCCTTTTCTTCCCCTCGGCTGGTTCCTCAATTTAACAGCCTTGACGTGGGGCCTGATTCACCTGACTTCGCATTCCGTGACCCTCGTGGGTGCATCCCAGTCAGCCACAGATCCACTCCAACTGCACAAGCCGGCAGGTCCTTGGACCCGGCCAAGAGGCTCATGGGAAGGGGAGTGACGCATGTGTATAAAGACAACTGCCAGCAATCCCAACGGCCTCTCTTCCTATTGGACACCGTTTGGTAAGCAGACCTGTCAAAAGCAAACCCCTCCCGCCCCCGCCAGAGCTCGCCGGCCTCTCACCTCCGATTTCAGAGAAGCTTCGTCCTCTGAATTGGACTCCTCCGCCACCGCCGCCACCTCCACAGGCTTCTTGATGGCCTTGGGCTCGCTCTCTGCCTTCACCTTCTCCGCTTTGGCGCTGGACTTCTCCTTGGGTGGCCGCTTCTCGGCGTAAGACAAGGTGCGGGGCGAGGTGGCCGGGACGGTCTTGGGTCCCTTGGAGCTGCTCTTCTTCGGCTTCTTGGCACTGGGCTTGGGCGACTCCACTGCCGAGGGCCTCTTGTTGGAGGGCTTCGGCTCGGCCTGCGGGGCTCCCCCCTTGGGCGAGGCATTCTCCAGCTTGGGCTCCTTCAGGGCCAGCTTGGGCTCCTTGAAGGCCGCTTTGGGGAGGGGCTTCTCCTCCTTGGGTGCTTTGTTCTCAGCCGCTTTCCTCGAGGAGGAGTCCTTCGAGGGCTTGCCGGGCTCCCTCTCCGGGTCTTTGGAGGAGGCTTTGCTCTCAGAGTCCTTCCGGGGCCGCTCACGATGTTCCCGGGTCACTTTGTGTGGCTTGGAAGCTTTGCTCCCGTCTTTGCCTGCCTCCTGAGAGAGAGAGAAGGGGGAAAGGTTACTGGACGGAAGCCCGAGGCTCCTGAAAACACTCAGCTCAGACATCGCGACAACCCAGGGACTGCACAAGTTCAGAAACCAAAGCAGGGTTGTTACTTCCCCATGTGCCCCAGCTTGGAGCCAAGTGTCTGCCACAGGGCAAAAAAGCCTCCAGAAGCAGAGCGAGAGTGGGCACTCAAGTCCGTCAATTTGGACATCGGGCTGAGCGCAAACTCACTCCACGCCAGCTGCCATTGGCTGGCCGGTCCCAAGCCATGGCTCGGCAGTTCTAAGGAGCACATCGCCGTTAATTACAGGTTCCCCTTTTGCCTTAGCTGCCAAGAAAATTCAATCCAAGCTCGTGTCCAAAGACTAGGCCAGCAAAATATAATTCTTTTCTTTAGCACAAATATCTGAAGGACTACTTATTTAATTATTTTTTATGGAAACGTTAACTTTTAACAATGCATGGGAGCAATGCAGTTTTATTGTTTTGTTTAGAAGGAAAAGCGATTGGATTTATACCCCGCCCTGCGCTACCCGAAGGAGTCTCAGAGCCGCTTACAATTTCCTTCCCCTTCCCCTCCCCACAACAGACACCCTGTGAGGTAGGTGGGGCTGAGAGAGCTATTTTGAGCACTGCTTGTGAGAGAACAGCTCTGAGAGAACTTGTAACTGACCCAAGGTCACACTAGCAGCTGCACGTGGAGGAGTGGGAAATCAAACCTGGTTCTTCCAGATTAGAGTCCGTGCTCCTAACCACTACACCAAACTGGCTCTCAATTACCCATTGTTATTTCATGTTTGTTCTCATTTGTAATGGCCTCTGGGTCGATGTAATAAAAATCGAACTGAACTGGTTAATTACAGAGGGCAGCCATGTCGGTGTGCAGTTGAACAGCTAAATATGAATCCAACAGCACCTCAGAGACCTGAGGAAGGGAGCTCTGACTCGTGAAAAGTTCACACTCTGAAAATCTTGTTGGTCTCTCAGGCAGCTACTGGACGCACATCCAGCCATCACAGTTAAGCTTCCTTAAACATGTATGACCGAAGCCAAACATTCACTACCAAGCTGGTTTAAACAGCAGGGGGGGGGGGGGGGGGTGGCAAGAGGGCTCTTTTCAGAGTTCCATACTCGTGGGAAGATTGGGGATTCTTCAGCATCGCTATGGAGGCAGAAGTCTAGGATCAAAACCCCGGGCCTTTCTGAAAGCAGGAGTTCCGCCCCCTGCTGTGGAGTTGGCGTGCCAGTCGAGTGGCCGAAACACGGACGAGTTATCTCTTGCACCCAAGAAACCCTCTGTGTAGGCAACAGATCACCTTTATTATTTCACTGTTTTGAGAGGGTGGCCCTGCTCGTCTGCAGTGGAACAGGTAGATTCAAATCCGGCGGCCCCTTAGAGACCAACAAAGATTTTCAGGGAATTGTCAAGATATTTTCAAGATTCTCAAGAATTTCGAAAGCTTACACTCGAAAATACTGTTGGCCTCTAAGCTGCTACTGAACTTGAATCTATGGCACTAAGGCAACCAGCTAACTGTTAGCAAGCACAGGAAGGAGACCTGTGGAGCAGCCAGGGCAAATCTAGCCCTGTCTCTGAGCTTTTCCTATTTGCCACCTTCTGTGGTTGGTTCTATAACGTATAATGAGGTGAGGCAAGGCAGTGGCTTGGAATGGTGGGGTTTCCCTATAGATGGGCCTTTTCCAGAGCCCGCTTTGAGGCGCTCCCTTCCGCTGTACTGCAAGGGATATTCACTCGAGTTCCAATGCATGAACATACATGCCCATGCATGGCTAATATGGTGGAATCAATTACTCATGTCCTCCTGTTCTGCAGATTCTTTCAGGAGGAACGAGACCATCTTATACTACCCCTTCTGTCTAGATTTAGCCCTCTGCAGTCTTATCTTGACTTTAGGCCAGAAGTCCTTCATAAATTCCTGTTAAAAGACGTTCAGAGCTCAGTGACTTGCTCTGTGGCAAAATTTTGTTGCTTAGCTACTAGAAAACGTAAGCTTATTTTGTTTTGTTGTTGTTCAGTCGCTCAGTCGAGTCCGACTCTTCGCGACCCCATGGACCAGATCACGCCAGGCCTTCCGGTCTTCCGCCGTCCTCTGAAGTTGGCTCAACTTCATGTTCGTTGCATCTATGACACTGTCTAACCATCTCATCCTTTGCCGTCCCCGTCTTCTTTGACCTTCAGTCTTTCCCAGCATCAGGGTCTTCTCCAGTGAGTGCTCCCTTCTCATTTGGTGGCCAAAGTATTTGAGCTTCAGTTTTATTATCTGGCCTTCCAGGGAACAGTCAGGGTTATTTCTTTTAGGATTGATTGATTTGATCTTCTTGCAGTCCAAGGGACTCTCAAGGGACAAGACAAGTCCAAGGGACCCCCTCATGGATCACTGCCTTGTGGCAACCCACTCCAGTATTTTTGCCAAGAAAACCCCATGGACAGTATCAAAAGGCTTATTTTGTATGACTCTCTTATTAACATTATGTTATGTTACTAATTTTATTAACTTTCTCTTGTTTATGTTTTTATACTATTCCCATGTTATTACCGTTTTTAATAACTCCAATTCTATTGAATTTTCCAGGCAGATCTGATGAGTTTAATATCTCCCTCCCCCCTTTCATATTGTTCTAACAAAATCACCTCTCAGGTGGCCAAATTCTGCCCCTCGGCAAGACCAACAAGGAAGCAGCTAGTCAAGTCTCCTTATTCATTGTCTCTACTATTGAAATTGGCCTGCCAGGCTGCCAGGGAATTTCACTGTTTGCAAATGTGCTGATAACTATGAGTGTCAATCGTGACTGGTCTATGATTGTAACTAATAAAGAAAGATAGAATGGTGGGGTTTCGGGGGGGCAGCCAAAACGCCTTCCCTGGACTTTCCTAAACGGAGCACCGCACACCCGGCATGCTTGAGAGGCAAGAGTTTGGAAAGCACTCCAGAGCCTTGCCGTGCTCTACTGAAAGAGGCCTCCTGAGACATGAGGAGGCGGAGAAAGCTGGGTGCTCCTGCTGCTAGGCAGGAGAAGTCGTTCATGGCCCACTGGGCAGCCCCCTCTTCTTAAACTGCCGCTGCCACCGTCCCCAGGTAGGGAGAACCAGTCAGCATTCAGACAACCAATTTTAAAAGAAAGAGGTCAGATATCTCTTGGGGAACCTAATCCACCCAATCAGGCGGAAAGGCAACCCCCCCAAAAAAAGGTTTACATAAACCACTGTTGACACTGTGGTTTATTCCGTTTTCAGGTCACTCCCCACCAAGATTTTGTAACAGGTGGTTGCTCCAGAGTAACTCTTTAGTGAAGTAATCCCAACTTATAGGAACCTTACCCAAGGTTTCTTAGATGTTCTAACAATGTTCAAAGCAACAGGATTTGTTGCACAACAACAATTAGGTGTACCTGCTTTTGTAATTCCATCTATCTACCTACCTATCTGTCTAATATTGCTCATACAGCTATCACCTTGAGCAGAAATTAGAACCAAAAGAAAATATTTTAAAAGACCTTATTCAGTATTATTCCTCTTATATTTGATTATTGCACTTATACATTTTGCCACTGAGAGGGTGACACGATCGTCGGTATCCGATAGTAGCCACGACACCTGGGCTCACACATTTAGACATTCCACATCTTTAAGTAAAAAGGTGACTAAATTAGCCCTCAACTCTTTGAATATAGGGCATGCCATAATCATATGCTCGATGGTTTCGATTTTATCATATGAGCAATCTGCCTGTTCGATTAGAGTATGATTTATTTATTTGTTTGTTGTATTTATAACCTGCCCTCCCCGCAAGCGGGCTCAGGGCGGCTCGCATTGCCTGGCACAGTGTGCCAAGGTTCATATACAGTCAAAACATTTAAAACTTAAAACATGTAACACTGTTAAAACATTTAAAGCATTTAAACAATCAACGATTTCCGATTCAAGTGCACTCAGTGATTATTAACCAAGATAGCGTAACACGTCATGCAGGCTCAGGCAATTACAGGCTCCTAGGCAGTTCGGCTCGATCTCTCTGCAGTCAGCCTCCACCACAGATATTAATAGTGGTCCTAATGGAAGGCCTGGTGAAAGAGCTCCGTCTTGCAGGCCCTGCAGAACTGCACAAGATCCCGCAGGGATCTCATCCAGGAGCTCATTCCACCAGTAAGGAGCTGCCACTGAGAAGGCCCTGGCTCTAGTAGCCATGAGCCTGGCCTCCCGGGGCCCTGGAATAATCGATGTTGCGCCCCCGACTGTAGTGCTCTCTGGGGTATGTAGGGGGAATGGCGGTCACTCAGGTATGTTGAACCCTGGCCATACAGGGCTTTAAAGGTAAGTATTTTGAAGTATTTCAGAGTGTGGCCGTGTCGGTCTGCAGTGGATCAGCTGGAGTCAAGTCCAGTAGCATCGTAGACACCAACGAGATTTCCAGGGTAGGAGCTTTCCAGAGTCAAATCTCCCTTAATCAGATCCCTATCAAGTAAAGGTATAGAATCACAGAATAGAATCCTAGAATCACAGAGATGGAAGGGCCGTTGATGTAAAATATTTTGGCAGTTGCATCGGGAGGGCGATTTCCAAATGGAGCGTCGAACATACTCTTCGTGCCCTAACAGACGTACTTGTAACATCCGATTTCCTTACATATTTTTAAAATTTGCCTTCTAATCTCTTTAGTTTCTGTATTTTTAATCATATCATTTGTTATTCCCAGGCATTTCATTTTCTTTTCCAATAGTTGATCCCATTGGCTATAATGTGTATCTGCCTGGATAAGCCCAACTAGACTACATCCTGCCTCAGATTTTAAAACCTTTACTTTGAAGAGAAATGCTTTAATCCAAGCCCTAGCTTCCATCGATAATTTGCCTAGTTCCGCCCTAGGGGCTATGTCCAAGACACATCTAGGAGTAGTCAATAAGCATCAGAAAAGTCATACTGGACAGAATCCATTTTTTCAGAAGCGGCCTGAATCCAAATTTCCGTACCATATAGGAATTGGTTTAGAACCATATCATTAAAATTTTCAAGTTAATATTGCAAAAACACTTGTCCTATGTCTGATCGAGCAACATTCCACTGGCCAAACCCACAAGAAGAAGAGGAGATTGGATTTAAACCCCGCCCCTCACTACCCAAGGGAGTCTCAGAGCGGCTTACAGACTCCTTTCCCTCCCCCTCCCCACAACAGACACCCAGGGAGGTAGGTGGGGCTGAGAGAGCTAGGGGGATAACACTGTCCAAACCACCCACCGTAATGCAGAGGCAGAGCTCAATGTACTGCCACCTGGATTTACGGTTCTGCCACCTGGATTTACGGGGTTCTGCGGCACTTGTTTTGAAATCAAGTTTCTAGGTTGCATGCTTGTGGAAATGTGAGCACCACACCCTTCACTGCTCCAAAACCACTCACCTTGGACCCATGGGACTGTTTGGTCTTCTTGGGATCAGAGAAAGCTGACAGCGGTATCGTGGGTAGCATGGGGTAGTCAGGGCTGGGCCGGGACACGGTTTCTGCTCCTTCCGGCATCACCATGACCTAAGGAAGGAAGAGCAAGTGAGCGATCAGCAACTGCTGTTTCAGACCTGGCTGCCCCTCTGTGAAGATCATCGTAGACTTTCACCTCTGAGATCACTCTGCTGCCCAGAGCACCTAACATCAGAACACGGAAGGGTGCAAAATTCAGAAGTCTAACGACCAGCTCTGTATTGTGTTGGAATTACAGACTGTGGGACAAACTTGGCAGCCATTTGCTGGGCTTCTGAAGCAGCCCAAAATCGCAGATAGACAGACATAAAATGACCGAGAGGCACAATCCAGTGTGCCATTCATTCTCTTTGATCCTAGTGTGGGGCCAGGGCTCAGTGGGAGAGCAGACCTTCCCCACCCCACCCCACCCCGAGGCTCCGTTCTCAGAAGGCAGGGAAGCCTCAAGAGCTGCTGCTGGTCAGAGGAGACATGGCCAGGGCTACGGGGATCAACGGCCGCTTCACACAGTGCCCCAGAGCATGATCCACAGATGAAGCTGCCATTGATCTAGTCTGAGGCTCTGCTTCCACCCCTTATCAGCACCAATTCAGCAGCGGAGTAATACGTTAACCCTACCAAGTGGTTCTCTCCTTAAAGGTCACTTAAAATTTCCCATGAAAAAACACCTGTGATATACCAGGAGTTACTCTATTTTTGAGTTACAAAGGTAAATTCTTAAGATTAGAACAACAAAATAGTATTTGCAAACTGTTTGTAGTGTTAATGCCATAGTTACGATGTAGTTAACCAAATCACTGTGTTATTTATGTGAAGCTCACTGTTGTATTGTACTCTATTATAACTGAAATAATAATTAAAAAAATTATGATGAAAGTCTCTTTACTTTACACCTCAGACCCCACCCATGAATACCAGTGAGAACTCAAAATCATGAAGGAAGTCCCAACATACGTACAGGAACAAATTTATACGGATACCACCCCAAGAACTCTGACCGGGCACTTTCTAGCTCCTGCCAAAGATACATAAACCTGACAACTCTGGACAGCCCACTGTCTCAAGCAGTGTTCCCTCTAAGCTGAGTCAGTGTGAGCTAGCTCACAGTTCTTTCACCTCCAGCTCACACATTGTTGTCTTAGCTCAGGAAGGAGGGCTCCAGAGCAAACTAATTTATGCAGCAGCCAAATCGCTTGCTCACTATTTTAATGCCAGCAGCTCACAAAGTATCATTTTTGCTCACAAGACTCCACAGCTTAGAGGGAGCATTGGTCTCAAGCATAGGCACCATCACTGTAGGAGTATCAGGATATATGGACTCCATCCTGAGACCATACCTTATCAATGCCCCCAGCTATGTCTGTGATACCTCAGACTTCCTGAAGCAACTGCAGTCCATTGACAATCTCCCAGAAAACAGCATTCTAGCCACCATGGATGTTGACCCTGTATGTACCAACATTCCCTATCAGGATGGACAACAAGCCATCAGCAACATCATCCCTGACAACAACACGGCAGATCTTGCCAGTGAACTCTGCACGTCTGTTCTCACCCACAGCTACTTCAGGTTTGGTGAGAACTTGTACCTCCAAATCAATGGCACAGCCTTGGGCACCCGCTTGGCTCCACAGTATGCACACATTTTCATGGTGGATCCAGAACAGCGTTTTCTGAACTCCTGCCCATGGGTACCTCTCCTTTACTTATGATTCATTGGTGACATTTTTATTGTCTGGACCCATAGCAAAGAAGCCCTCGAGAGAGATTTCACCAGGCTGCCCACTAAAATTACTCTGCACGAGAAATGAACTTCCTGGACACTACAGTATGAATACACGAGGGACACATAAGTACCAAATTATACTGGAAACCAACTGATCAGCAGACATATCTACAGGCCTCCAGCTACCACCCCAATCACATCAAACAATCCATTGCGCATAGCCAAGCCCTACGCTACAGTCGCATCTGCTCTAACCCCTCAGACAGAGATGCTCACTTGAAGGATCTGCAACAGGCATTTTTGCAACTACAATATGAAACAATCCATTGTGCATAGCCAAGCCCTACGCTACAGTCGCATCTGCTCCTACACCTCAGACAGAGATGCTCACTTGCAGGATCTGCAACAGGCATTTTTGCAACTACAATATCATACTGAGATGGTGAGAAAGATTATTGGAAAGGCCAGAATGATACCCAGGGACAGCTCGCTTCAAGACAATCCCAAAGTAAATGATAACAGAACTCCACCGGTGGTCACCTACAGTTCACAACTCGGGCCAGTTCAATGCATTATTAATAACCTACAACCCATGCTGAAAAGGAAAGATTTACCCAACTGAATGCAGATTTCCAGAGAACAGCAAGGAGAGATAAGGAGGCCTTCCTGAATGAACAATGCAGGTAGATATCAAGGGAGCGTTCCATGCAAAGCTGGCCATGATAAAGGATAAAAACGGTAGGGACCTAACAGAAGCAGAAGAGATTAGGAAAAGATGGCAAGAATACACAGAAGAACTACACAAGAAAGACCTTGATGTCCTTGACAACCACAACGGTATAATCACTGACCTCGAGCCAGACATCCTGTCAGCAAGCTGCCAAGTGTATTTTCTTTGCTTATGAGTTGTATCCAAAAAAAACCCCTCGCCTTCATGTCCAGTAATTCATATGCGCATGCCCACACCTACCCCCCTGCGTTTAATTGTAACTGCATTCCTTTCTGTGTACGCTTGCAGAGCTTTGAAGGCAACTTATCAGTAATGCAGCAGGTGGTTTGTACTTGGAGGCTTTTTGCTTAGTCTATCATGCAATGTAGCGTGAGAATAGAATGCTTGTTTAATTAGTTCAAACCGTTGTGTTCCCAAGGTTTGGGCGCGAGGGGAATCCTTTGGCGCCAGCGGGAATCATATCTATTGGCCCAAGCTATTTTGAACTTCCTTTATTATACCTGTAGCAAGCCCATTGTGTCATTCCTGACAGAGATTGTGTTCTACCCGTTTCATGGCTTTAATAAAATAAAACCTTCTTGCAAGAGTGTATCTTATTATAGGCTGTGATTCTGACACATCCTTGAATGATAAAAACGGTTGGGACCAGTGTTCCCTCTAAGCTGAGTGAGTGTGAGCTAGCTCTTTAGCTTCCGGCTCACACATTTTTGTCTTAGCTTAGGAAGGAGGG